TAGTCGAAATACGAGTTACCCCTTAACAGGTATCATAATTGAAGCGGAAATGCTGGCATATATAGCAACTAGCGATTCAACCTCGCTTCGCTCGAGTTCGTCCCTAGGTTGCTTCCCCATACAAACATTCATCCCCATTTTCACCAGCTTAAGGGATGATTTCCGGGATAAAAACTATCGTATATCCCTTTCAGGGTCTCAAAATATCTTCTAAGCGGGTTCAGTAGTTTCGGAGCTTATTCGGTACAAACAAACAAAAAAACCTGTCCTCTTTATATATTAGTATAGTTTAATAATTATTTTTAACTTAAAAGGTAAATGGACATCAAAATAACTTCTTAAGTACTCTTAATTATGCCAGTTTGTGAATATTATTTTATTGAATGGGACTCATGCGGAATGACCTATTAATTTATACATTCTATATATTATATATTCATTCATTTCATAGGCAGTGGTAGCCCAGTGGTAACGCGCTCGCTTGGGAATCCGAGTGAAGCGGGTTCAAGTCCAGGGTCTTGCACCTCAGATGTTTTCATGTGCGAATCATTTCTAACATGATTACCACTTGTCCTTACGGTGAAGGAAAACATGGGAAACGTAAGGAAACCTGTATATCTGAGAGAACCTAGCAAGTTTTCGATAGACATAATATATTCTGCCAACCCACACTTGTCCAGCGTGGCGGATTATGGCTTGATCCGCCCTCGCATTGAAGGGAGAACCGTGCCCAGCAGTGAGACGATAAAAAGGGCATATATTATACGTTGTTGTATATCTATAATCTATTATATTATGTCTATGTTAAGAACTCTATGATTGTAACTATTGTCTATGCCTTATCTAGCTCTCTGGTCTGAATCATTGTATTGTAATGTCGAGTCACGTCTTTGAGTCTAAACTGTCTAAAAGTAATAAAGTCATATCAAGTCAATCAATGGTATTTATTAACATAGCATCATAAAACATGGTGTCAGAAGTCGCAACAAAGTGAAGAATATATATATTCAAAGTCAATTGTTATAAAATTGAATCTTCAAAATGTCGACGTCTATAAAGCAAAGAGCCTCAGAAGAACTTAACTATTATCAGACATTCCTTTTTGCAGAAACCCGAAGAGGGAATCGACGCATTTCTTACGGACTTACAAAATATTGGAAATAAATGTGATTGGTACACTGAAAGAATCACTAATTAAAGATATTTACACATATCACAGTCATATACACATACGTTTATATTTATTTTTTAATATTAATTTAATAAGGTAGTGTTTTTATTAAATGAAGTTTTTATTTCGTTTACACATAGTAAAAGAAATGAAATAGTGAAAATAAGTAAGTGAAGAAGAATCTGTGGGGTTGTTGATCACTTTATATCCTGAGTAACAAATTAAATAATTGATTTCTTGATAAAAAAAAACACGCTTCATAAGCTACAACTCATCTACTAGATATTCAGAAAAGGGACGACTTCTCTAAAATATATATTTATATAAGGTATCTAACTGATTATTCTATTAGTTACTAATTAGCTTTAATATTGAGATACTATATAGTATTATGTCATTCAAGCTAAAGATCAAAGTGTCAATTTTTATATACGTAATTGTAAAGACTAAAAGAAAATGCTATTTTCAACCGACTTCCAAAAAGAAGGAGATTCTCAATTTGTCGGAATCTTTTTTTTTTCATATATGTTCACCGATTACTCGAAGACGCCTGAACCGATTTGGAAAATTCTTTTTTTGTTTCGAAGGGTATACATACTTCCCAGGTGGTTTTCATTTAATTTTTATCGAAATCGGTCGAGCGGTTTTTAAAAAATCAACAATAAATTATTATTTTTAAAAATGTCTTAATCGAATATGTTATTATAAAAGTTTCTTCTTACAAATTACTACACCAAAAATGGAAAAATAACCACGGTGACAGCGAATACAAATCAAAGCACACCGACTTTGAATATATCTGATTACTTAATCAATAAGTCTATTCTAAATGAACACCCCCGATTAGTTATTTTTTACTTTTTAGTATTCTTAAATCTCAATCCGTCATTAACTTTAAGATACACTTATTGGCGAAAGAATGAAGAAATAAATCCAAGCCAATTTCAACAGTATTTTTTGTCAGCGTACAAGAATGCAAAGCTTTATTTTCATCTCACCAAAAAAGGGAAGTTTTGGAATTTGTGGACATAATGCTATTCCCAAATACGGCCCTGTGTATATTCAATTTATAAATTGTCATTCTAAGTTATTTATGCCTTATTTGTGGGGATGTTTTTATTTGAAATCTGTTTTATTCTTGAAAAAAGTAAATTTTAGGGTAAATATATGTTTATTGACAAAAATTGCATCCATATGAACTATTTATAAGAACAATTTGTTTAGTATTTGGTCGTGGGTTCATTTCCGCTTTGAGCAAATATCTCTTCATAATCAATTGTAATAATGTTATTTATCTTATTTGAAAAATAAAGACTTAACTGCGTTTCTGTAATAATAAGAGATTTATTTCACTATTAGAATTTAAATACAATTTTTTTTTTAAATTACACTTACAATAAAATATTATCTCCCCTGTAATATTAAAAGAAACAACATTTAAAGCCTCTATTTCAATCTAAATAACAATAAACTAATAAATAAACTCTTCGAGGGAAATTTTGTAATTACTTTTTATATCAATTATTTTATTAAATGTCAAAGTTAAAAAACTAAAAAAAATAAAGGAAATTTAGAATCAAACAAAAGGTATTTATGTAATAAAAATAAATTAAAAAAAAGCACTTGCATATGAAGTGGTTTTCTTTAAACACACACACACACACACACACACACACACACACACACACACACACACACACACATATATATATGTATATATATATATATATATATATATATATATATAAAATTATATACAAGTGTGAGTGTATGTTAATTTACCCTTATTTTAAAGACTATTTAATTTTATTTATTTATATTTTGTAGAACATAAATACATTAGAATGACGTTCTAAACAATAACTGAACAAACTATAATAGATAAGTTATCAAATGCGAGAAGGTCGAGATCAATCAATTGATTACAACGTTCATAGGAGTTTGACGAGATTTGCTCATCAGAGAGTTCCAACTTCCGTACAGTTAGTAAAGTTTAATTGTTAGTTAGATCTATAACATAAACATAATAATTAATATGGCGTATATGCACAGAGCATATATTGCAGATTGCAATTTCATTAGTTAATGTAGTAGCTCGTATGTACGACAGAGGTCCTGGGTTCGATTACACAGTAAGACTATGATCTGCTATTCTGCTCTTGTGTAGAAATAAATATATTATAAAAATAAAAAACCCGACTGCACAAAAACATACCCCCAAAGTGCATCTACAGTGTCGTGGTGAGGGACTCATTAACGTCCAGCAATTCAGCCTGGTATTTCTCTGATAGCAGAGTGGACCGCTGGAGCAACCGCATGGCTGTTATCGTCTGCTTTGGCACACCTACTGTACGGGGCGTCGTGGTTGAGTGCGCAAGTGACCCTGCCAATGCTCTGCCAATGCCCTATTAGGACGGCGAAGGTTTCATTAGGTTTTAGTGGGTAGACGGTAGTATTAGCTTTTCTAGCCGATGAGTCCCACGTAACCATTTGTATGTATACAGGTGGTGGGCGTAAATGCATTTCCCAATATAAAAAAGGGGCTGAAAGTTTGTATTGAGTAATCATTCCTCAAGTTAAATTTTACGCAGTCGGTAAGGTACATTTTGTTTTTGTAATTAAATAACAGATTCTATTACGGCCTACGAAACTTAATTTTATGCATATGTAATGTTGCCATATTCACTTTATAGTCCTGACTCCTTTGATTACGATAGAATTATGTTTAAAATTATTTTGCATCTCATTTATTTTAATAACCGTCCTTAAAATCATTTAAACCTAAAAACCATTACAACGTAAATAGTGTTTGACTCAAACCAGGCCTTCAATCCCTTTCATTTGATTTTCAATTTCCTGTTACGTTTTATCGATGATTTTATTTAGAACGAAATTTAATATAAGTTAGCCAATGATCACACGAATGAATATCACACAAATGAATATTTATTAATTGTTTCACGTTTCATTAATGCTGGAATTCTAATTATCATACTAGTAGTTTACCCTCGTTTAGCTCATGTACTTCTCTAGGTACCTGTGTACCCAACGTGCGTACCTTACCGTAGTGGGGGGGGCTCAGTAGTGCCCGACAATACAGCCGGGCGCGAAGCCAAGAAACGCACAGGGAGGTAGCCCACTTCGGTGGGCGGTGGGAGATGGCCCTCTTCGGTGGGCGGTGTACCATACGGGTTGCTCCTGATACTTCTCTGATAGCAGAGTGGACCTTGGAGCAACCCCATGGTTGTTGTGGTCTGCTTCGGCAGACCTGCCGTCGGGGCGTCGTAGTTGAATGCATAACCGATCCTGCGACGCCCCATTAAGACGGGGGAACGTTTTGTTGGGTTTTAGTGGGTAGTACTGGTTTTGCCCGTGAGTTAAAAAAAGGTACCTGTGTGTTGTTCTAAGTCACAGTCTATCTGTGTACTCAGTACTCACCCAATTCCGTTCAGCAATTTCAGAGTTAAGGAGTAACAAACATACACATACAAAATTACTTATTATATTAGGTAGCCCGATTAAATATATTTATGTAAACTATGCTTGTTCTGCAAAAATTCTTTCTTCAATACAAAATTTATTGTGTAATCGAAATTTATTTTAAAATATATCCAAAAATAACATTAATAATTGAATTAATAGTATAAAAAATGTTTTAAAACACAACAAAATCGAAAGTGCATAATATTTAACACCATTCAGACAAAGAAAGACAATAGCATTCCCAAGGAGGGTTGACGTCAGGCAGGCGGCCGGTCGTAAAACTTTTGCCAAATCCTATCAGCAGTACACTGAAGATGTACTGCGCCGACCCCAAGTGATTTGGGAAATGGGCAGGGAGAAGAAGAAGAAGATGCTTGTTCTGCAAAAACCTATTCCCTTAAGTTGTCAGGTATTTTTCACAATGATGATGGTTGTGTTATGTATACCAGATGAATGACTGCTCTGTCTTTACTAAGCAAAGTACGGTTTTCTAAAGTAAAATATGTTTAACATGACAATGAAAAATTTCGTTTGCAAAAGGTAGAACTTTGTCATAAGATGACATTCAACAATCGTTTGTGAATAAAAATTAAAAAATATATATTTGAGAATGATATTATGAGTTTCTGACAACGCTTCAGTATGTCATTTCATTATTTTTTATTCACGACATTGGCAGGACTGATGAATGAATAATAAAATATACGAGATATGAATGCTTTGAGCATGAATCACTCACCATTAAAAAATATAATAAGGAATCGTTTACATCAAGCAAAGTAGTAATGTTACAGCATTTTAATAGATTTGACTCATTTAGGTCTACTTTTTAGCACTTGACTTCACTTTGTAGTACTTCGTAGTACTTTCAGTATTATTTGTTGATTCTTCGACTTTTAATTTCTCTCACAATCTGACTTAGTAACAATAATTTGTGGGACTCGGTCATTTCTTAGAAATTATTAGTCGAGAATATTTTTATTTATATCGCTAAAAAGTGACGAAGACATTATCTATCAATGCTAAACATTATATACCAAAAATAAAATAAAATTGTCAAACTATATAAAAGGCATGTCAATTCCAAATAAGTTTTATCTTTTCTGTAGTTTGATTTTGACGACACGTTTGGCTCAGTTTGTAGTGACCCTATTTGCTGAGCCAGTGGTCTCGGGTTTGAATCCCGCTGGGGGCATTCATTTATGTGACGAACACGAATGTTTGTACTCCAGTCATGGGTTTTTATATTTATAATATGTATGTTTTTAAAGTTGTATGTGTGTAGTGTATCGACTGTCTGGTATCCATAACACAAGCCTCGTAGCCTTACCATGGAACTAGATGGTGCTGTGTGTTAATATACCAGCACATTTTTTTTCTGAAGTTATTGATAGAAGAAAGTTTGCTTCACTAAATATAGCCTACATATATTTGTGGTTTATTGAATCAGAGGAATTTATTATATCATGTGGGCTTGTTTTCTGAAAATCTAATATTGACTTCGAAGTTAGTAAAAATCGTCAAGATATCCAATAAGTAAAATAAATAAGAAAATTGTGATATACTCTTTTTTGTAGACAGTGGTAGCACAGTGGTGACGCCCTCACTTTGCTAAACCAAGTGAAGTAGCTTCAAATCCCGAGTCTCGCACCTCTGATATTTTTATGTGCGAATCATTTTTTTTACGATTAAGGAAAACATTGTGAGGTAACCTGCATGTATGAAGAGAAGAAGATAAAACCTAGGATAGTTTTCGAAAGGCATGACGTGAAGTGCTTCCTGAATCGACTTGGCCAGCGTGGTGTAATATGTCCTGATCCCCCTCGTATTGAAGTGAGGTCCAAGCCCAACAGTGGGACGTTAAAATGGGCTGACAACAATATACTTTTAAATAAATATTGTCATGAACATAGAATAGTAATGCCTTTCGTAAAAAACCGAAAGTAGAGTTGAATCTAAAAATTAAAGAAATATCTCGCAGTTACTGTATTTAAAGAAAACATAAGATGTATAGTACTTTTTTAATATTTTTAAATTTCACATTTACAACCCAACCTTTATGTACCGTTTGAAAAAATCGTGTACGATTTACGTAAAATTTCTTTATGCCCACTTCGTGACCGAACGCCATTTCTAAACATGAGTTGCACGACCGATGTATATTTTTTAAGGCAGGTATGTATTATTTGAGGTGTAAAAAAATATATTCAACTTATTTTTGTGAAATGAAATGGGATATTTACCAAGTTTTAAAATTTCTCTTAAAATTTTCTTTCTTTTTATATAAAGATTATATATATATATATATATATATATATATATATATATATATATTTTATTTAAATATTTAGGCTGATTTTTTGCGTAATTTTGATTTTTGATTCTCGACGTTTCGAATGCTTTACAGAAATTATAGTCACGGGAGAGACTTATTTAAAATGTCAAATATTCGCGTTAATCTAAGAAAGTATGCTTTGAACGGAGTAAACAGAATAATATAAATGGACACTAATTTTGTGATCTGTACTTATTGTGATTCGAGCGTATACTGTAAATATATCTACTCTTGACCGGTAACCAATCTTACTGGGAACAGCAATCTCGATGCCCGCGCAGGAGACATCATAGTGCTGCAAATTATATTTCTTTCAATCTCAAAGTCCAGTAAAACGATAATGTGGCGTGACAGGTGAGAAATTAGGTGCAAATGTAAAACGTAATCTTCGAAGCACAAAGGTGTAACAATTCTAACTTCCTAACTCCAGGCTCTCACTGAGAATTTTATAAAAGGAAAACTCAATTACTATACTTGCTCCGAACTAGGACTCGAACCCAAGCCCTCTGGATGTGGAGTCGTACATGCCAGCCACTAGACCAACGATAGCTATATTATGTGTATAAATTCTAACAGAATATTGAAATTATTTGTTTTAGATTGCTGTACTCCTTGCTCATTGCTCTCACGGCATTGGATCTGGTATTATGTTAGCATTTCCTTCGGTGCTGAACCCAGCTATTATTTCTTCTAACAGCACAGATATCACAGCCACATCGCAACAAGCGTCATGGATAGGTAAATTACTATTATATTATACCTATCTTTTTTATATAAAAAAAATGGTGTATGTCTGTAAAGTATTCAGCGTTTTGGGATTTCTCTTTAGTATCATTAGATCGATTTTGACGATCATATCTCATGCAAAACTGTTTTCTAAAATATTAACAATAAGCTTTTAGATACATATAAATAAAGTGTAGCTTAGTACATGAAAAAAGAAGACGTTAAAATAAAAAACTAACGCATGGACAAATAATCATTTTTGACATATTAAATATGATAATCACAAAATTTCTATTCAAAATTATCATGTCAAGCACATCATGTCACATAGGGAATTAAGAGTTGCCTTTGTATTTTCAGCTGCCATACATGGATTTTCGGGTTTGGTCGGATTTCTTATAGTTCCACCGCTAATGCAAATCTTAGGTCGTCGAATAACGAAAGTTTTCCTTAATATTGTAGTTCTATTAGGCTTTTTAATCTTTACTTTAGCTGAAAGCGTAATAGCTCTATATATGGCAAGAACAATCCAAGGCCTTTCAATTTGTGCAGTTTTTATTGCGCCAATAATATTAGCAGAGTATGCTCATCCAAAACGAAGAGGATATTTTGTTACACTAAAGAAAATTTCAATAGCAATTGGGTCCTTATTATGCCATGTTACATCCTTATGTTGGACCTGGAGGCAAATCGCCGCTTTTGGTATCATCCCATGTGCAATTTCTGTTGTCTTGACGTTTATTTACCCTGAGAGTCCTGCTTTCTTGGCTATGTTAGGAAAGTATGAAGAGTGCAACAAAGCTCATTTATGGCTTCATGGAGAAAGTGTGAACAGTAGAAGAGATATTGAAGAATTAATATCCATACAAAAAGAAAGGAGAAATGTAAATAAATACAGCAAAAACAAAGTGACAATAATAAAAACGAAGTCCAAGAAAATGCTTCAGCGAGATTTTATTAAACCTTTCGTAATAGTCTCTTTACTAACAGTGATTGTTGACGCATGTGGAAGAATTTACATGATGGCGTATATCGTGCAAATCTTAAAAGAAATAACTGGGGACAAGTTAGTAGCATCATACTGCACTATTGGGGCAGATATATTAGCATTGGTCGCGTTATCTATATCATGTGTTATCATCAGACGTTTCAATCGACGTGCCATTTTATTTACAACAAGTATTATGTCTATTGGTTTAATGTTTTTAATAAGTTTACTTATGTATTTGAAGACTAATAGCAACAATGTTGGTATTATAAATTGGTTGACTCCAGCAATAATTTTGCTGAACATATTTCTCATCAATATTGGAGTCATACCAACTAGTTTTACGATTATTGGTGAAATATTTCCATTAGAGCATAAAGGTTCTGGATTATGTGCATCTGGTGTAATATTTACTGTTCTCTACATACTAGTTATGAAATTTACTCCTGTGATGATAGAGGAAACAGGAATTGAAGGTACCTTCGCAATATTTGGTTTATGTATGATTATTAGCATAGTTATATTATATTTTATTCTAAATGAAACTAAAGATAAAACTTTACAGGAAATTGAAAATCAAATAAGAGGCATTGAAAAGCCTGGACTGAATAAAATGTTAATTGAAATGGAATAGTTATTGCGCAATATATACTTATAGTCTGGTTAATATAGCGACGCACCCTCGCTCCGCTCTTGTTCGTCCCTACTTACGTTTTAATAGTATATATAGTATATATAAATATATATACCAGAGATCTAGTATATATAAATATATATACCAGAGATGAAATATTAACCCGCAGTAATAAGTATTCTATATGTTAACCCAGATAACCAGCTAACATCATGCCAAATTTTGTCAAAATCCCTCCAGTGGTTTTTCTGTGATGCGGTCACAGACAGACAGATAAAAATTCCAAAAACTATAAATTCGGCCTTTATATCGATAATAATGACTATTTCAATTTGATTTTCCAATAAATATTTAATGTACAGATTTGACTTAGATCTTTATATGTATAGATTGTTAATTGAAATGTAAAATTTGACTGATTACCGTAACGTTATCTTAAGGACACTTTCTTGAAATGTATACAAATCATTAAATATGAATGTGTTAAGTTTTAGACCAGAATTTCGACTGAATATGCAAGCATTCGATTAAATATTTATAAGCAAAACTAACTTGTTTGAGATTCTTCGCTCTCTGATCCTCTGTAATGTGTAGAAGTTGTGTAATCTTCTTAACCAGAAGAGTATTCTTGCACAACGTTATTTTGATTAATCGACATCATCAGGAAGCCAAACTTTATTCATTGCTATACATATATAAAGCTATATGTATTGTTATTTACATAAAATTAAAAGCCTTCACTGTTTTACAAAATAAAGTTTAAAAAGCTTTCACGACATAGTTACCCTACTTGCTGTACCAGCGGTCGCGGGTTCCATTCCCGCAGGGGGCTGGGGAGCTGGGGTCTAGTCAACTACACAGTAGATATATCATTTAGCAGGACCTGTAATCGTGTTAGCCACTTTACCACCAAGGCCGTCTTGATATGATTAAGTAAGTGTTGTAAGTGCCAGTTAGTTAATCATTATTATAGAAATATCTACGACGTTTTATTTACGTACATATATCAAAAAATAATAGTACTCGAAGGAAATTACGAATATTCGGAGGGTGTAATCCAATAAAGAGCACTTAAGGCAATTATTGCGTCACGTGACTCGCTTTGTAATAAGAGGACATATTGGATGAATATATTTCAAAAAGAATAAACGTATTACGTAGGAAAAAAATAAAATGATCCTGGAATTATTTGAAATACGCAAGTTGCCCTGATTTTGCAAGCTTTCAATTTAATTTGACGTTTACCGATAATGCTCGAAAGTGCTTCATTAATTGTACCGATAGATAATTAATCAAAATAAAAAGCAAAATTCAACAACACATTTGCTCAGTTTGTAGTGACAGTACTTGCTGTGGTTCGAGTCCCGCTGGGGGCATTCATTTGTGTGATGAGCACGAATGTTTGTACTCCAGTCATGGGTGTTTATATTTATAATATGTACATATTTAAAACTATATAATATGTGTAGTGTATCAACTATCTGGGTATCCATAAGACAAGCCTCGTAGCTTACCATGGAACTGGATGGTGCTGTGTAATAATGTCCCATGTTTATAAGCGGGCAGAGCCGTGGGCAAATGCTTGTATATTACACATTTGCTGCATTTAAAGCTTTATACTGCGTGCATATAACAGTATATACGGTTCTTATGAGAAAATTTTTTTGTCTGTCTGTTTGTTCCGGCTTATCTCCAAAATGGCCAGACTGATTTTGACGGGACTTTCACTGGCAGAGAGCTGATGCTTTAAGGAGTAACATAGGCTACTTTTATTTCAAACAAAAATTAGGATTCCGCGTAAAAAATCAAATTGTGAAACACAATTCTCGTATCTAGAAACGCGAGCGAAGCAAGGGTAAGTCGATAGTAATAAATAAATGTCCCAAATGTAATTAATAGATAAAATCGATTTAATTAAGCTCTTCATCTAAAAACAATGTAACATAAACAGTGATGTTTATGTAAGGCCCGGTACATGAATTAACATAGTAATCTATCAAGTACAACCTATCAGGTGTAGAGACAACATTCTGCCTATTTACTATGCATATACCAATTGTACTGTACAAATCTATTATAGTACTTATAACTTTTGACGGTCGACTAATTTTGTGGCAGGATTTCCAACTACCCACAGAACAAGAAGTCGAGTCTTAAATGCAGCAATTGTGTAATTATCAAATATACAAGTATTACCCACGGCTCTGCCCGCTTATAAATAAATATGTTGGTAACACACAGCGCCATCTAGTTCGAAGGGTAGTGCTCGGGATGCAGTAAGCAAATGTACAGATTTTTGAATTTTCAGCTGCCTGTCTGTCTGTTAGGCTGTAAATTACATATAAGTCGTGAATTCGTGTTTTTTTTACTAGTAACTTATCTTTGCTTTGCTGGGTGCTTTGCTGGGTGCGTTCCTGGGTAGACACTAATAGGTAGCCTAGGTGACACTCCAGTTTATATTCTCTAGGTGCGTTTTAACGGTTAGTATGAAATACAAATATTTGAATTTCTCGGCTTTTCTGCACTGTAATATGCATGTATTAACCTTCCTCTTGAATCAATCACTCTATCTATCGCTGAAAACTGCATTAAAATCCGTTGAGTAGGTAGTTTAAAAGATCTAAGCGAACAGATAGCTGAAGCGACTTCATTTTATACTATGTAAACACATAAATTTTCGTATTTATAATAATACTCCATATATTTATTAGTTAGTATTATAATTCGCTTAATGTCGTATACGCTCCCATTATAAAGACTTACACTATATTAAAAAAAAATGTACAAGTACATACATCCGTATTATTAATGTTATAAATGTGAAAGTTTGGGAGTATGTACTATGTATGGATGTTTGTTACTCTTTTACGCCAGAACAGCTGGACGGAGCTGGATGAAATTTGGCACAGGGATAGATTATAGTCTGGAATAATACATAGGCTACTTTTTATCCCCGAAAAATGTTCGGTTCCCGAGGGATAGATTTATTTTTGTTTTTCTAGAGGCGAACCCGAACAAAGCGGGGGTGAGCCGCTAGTACGTATATATAAGTAAATCACTTACACTCGTTCATGGTTAGTTAAACATCCCGAAATCTATTAAGAATGGCCACTGGCGCTGAAATAGTCCAGATAGGCTTATGTATTGTGTTTCGAATGATTTCGTCTAATGCATGTGTGCTTGGATTTGTAATTTACTTGGTAGACGAACGAATAATTTTAATTTTTAATTTTAGTTTGGCTCAGCTTGTAATGCTTGCTATGCCAACGGTCGCGGGTTCGAGTCCTGCTGGGGGCATTCATTTGTGTGATGAGCACGAATGTTTGTACTCCAGTCATGGATGTTTATATTTATAATATATATGTATTTAAAGTTATATATGTGGAACTAGATATATCAACTATCTGGTATCCATAACTTAAGCCTCGTAGCTTACAATGGAACTAGATGGTGCTGTGTTAATCTCCCAACATATTTATTTATTATTTAAAGCAATTTCTTAGCATTAGTTTTAAATGTATCATTAAATGGAAGAGAAACTAGCATAATAATTTCTATTACAGACGTTATCAAAGCTCAAATATCGGTTCGTTAGGTCAAATTATCTTTAATAGCTATTAAGCATGCCGCATGGACGTTTAGACTGCAGACTTATACTATATTATGTATTATTGCAGATGAATTTGGCTAATGCAACGTCCATGGCGTTGAGGTTTACTTAGTCTGCCACTATACATAGTTTAATGTTGTCTGCAACTGCCTCGGTGGTGTAGCGGCTAGCATGTACAGCTGCACACCCGGAGGTCCTGGGTTTGAGTCCCGGGTCGGGGTTGGCTAGTCTCAATGAGATTGACCGCCGTGTCCGGAATCGGTCAGAAGAACATCAATGTTGTCTAAGTGTTATGCAGGATTTATTCCTATTTTCAGCTAGCGATTTACCCTTACTTCCCTCGGGTGCGTCTTATTTCTATCCGTCGTGTCCTTTTGTATTTATTTCTATGCGGTCTCGGAGGTAGCGTACCAAGTGTTGCTCCCGGTAATTATAGAATAGAATATATCTTTATTGACACAATTGTTTGTTGTTACATAAGCCTGTTGAAGCCTCTGACTCCCAAACTAGATTAAACCTGTATGTCAGGAGTCAGCGCCCTCTTCCATCTTTAATCATAAGTCTAGGTCAATAGTACCTATTACAGAACATGTTAACAGTAATAATTTTAGTATTTTTTTGTGAAAGAAGAAAATAAAAAATAAAAATTAACTTTAACAAAAATGTACTATGAGAAGTTATTAGTTGAAGTTATGTTAATTCTCTGATAACAGAATGGATCTTTTAGTTATTGTGGTCTGCCGTCGGGGTGTTGTGGCTGAGTGGGTACGCGTCCTTGTGACGTAATAAAACAAAAGCGTCATATAAATCTATGTGCAATTTTTTAAATTTCACCGTGAAAAACTAACAAACATATATAATTGCAAAATTTCAAATTTATAATAGTTGTGTGATTAAATATTTGTTTCATCGCTTTTAAATAATTTGAGCACTTTTTATCTATACTAATATTATAAAGAAGTAAAGTTTGTGAGTTTGCGATGTTGTAGGGGACAGTCTCTGGATCTACTGAACCGATTTAGATGAAATTTGGTAAGAAGATAGTTTGAGAGCCTGGAAAAGACATAGCATACTTTTATCCCGAAAATCATGCCTTAACGGGTGAAAATGGGGATGAAATTTTATATGGGGAAGCAACTTAGGTACCCAAGCGAAGCGAGAGTGAGTCGCTAGTTCATAAATACGGCCGTAGTCGTTAAAAAATGAAAAATTTACAGCTCATACACTATCTAAGCTCTTAAAGAATGTCCAGTCGGTTCGTCATTCGCGATAAATATTGACTAAAGTCACGAGACGCATGAATAGATGCATAAACATCTAAAATAGTCCTATATATATATATATATATATATATATATATATATATTTTATATATAAGCCATTTCGA